CTCATAATTATGAGATACTATCTCATAATTATGAGATAGCTATCTCATAATTATGAGATATGTCATAATTATGAGATAGCTAAGTCATAATTATGAGATACAAGTTTTATTTATTTTTTTATCAGGGTGGCGGAAATGGGCTTCCATAGAAAAGCAATGCAAACTCGGAACAAAAAACCTGTGGTGACTTACCCAGTCGAACAAACAGCACATGTAAAATGATAGCTTGTGCAGCCTCTGGAAGGCCAGATGACCTGCAGCATCAACTAAAGTCACAAGGCTATCAGCGCTAAGCAAAACTGTACATATTTTATACTTGAAGATGAAATGGGACTGAGCTATTGGTGTCAGTCACATGATTATAGAGATTCAGCATCACACGTGACTTTGACAAAAAATACTTGACCTGTGATGCACAATAACCATTCAGTGCTTACAGCACTGCCTCGGTTGGTCATAGGGATGAAGTAGAACTGCTTACTTCCTGTAGAGAGTGAAGGAAAACTCTGTTGGCTGAAGTCACAGGGATTCTATTGTTGCTGTTCATGGTGGTGTCTTGTTTCCTTGTCAAGGCCTACATGGTAACTTCTCCACATGCAGACCTGATAAGATCCACAAAAACATGGCAGCACACATCATGGTGATTTGACACAGGTTTAAAAACTGATGTATCAGATGATTTTTGTGTCTACGGTGTGTTTAAGTTGGTGTATGTGACAAGATTAAAATGTTTCAATTCCAGTTGTGATGACAAAACTGAACTAAGATAAAAAGTCATGAGGGGTTGGATGTGCTCTATCTGCACTCTGGGGGCAAAAACAATTATAGGCTTCTATAACACTGAGAGACAAACTAAATACAAGAAAACAAAATGTCTTTTTGATTTATAAACTTTACTGATAACTTGAATTGTGGGAATAAGAATCAACAAAGATGTAAACGTGACATCAATGTTTCAATCTTCAAAAATCTTAAATCTTGAGCAATGATTTAGTCAAAAGTGGAAGAGGAGCGTGTTAGTGTCTTTTAGTAAAAATGTTCATGAACTTCTAAAAATGATAATAAAAAACTTTAGAATGTTATTAGTACATCCTCAATTGATTCACTTTTCAATCACTTTAATTCAAGATGCTTTCACAGTTACTCAGCACAAACCTGACTGTAACTCATTACAGATGTTGAAGTATTTGTTGTGGTAGTACCTGAGAGTTTTCCTAAACACAAACTCTGAGCACAAATCACAAAAGGGCTTTATTTAAACTTTAACATCAAAAGGGAGCAGGTGAAATACATTCCTTCATGTAAAGCTGCTTTCATTAATGCCAATTTCTCATGCCCTGCTGTCTTCTTCTTCTTCTTCTTCTTCTTCTTCTTCTTCTTCTTCTTCTTCTTCTTCTTCTTCTTCTTCTTCTTCTTCTTCTTCTTCTTTTTTCTTCTTCTTCTTCTTCCTGTGAGAGGAGGGTGTGTGGAGAGCTGAAGAAGAGTGAGAGTAAAAGTGAGTATTTAAAGAGTAACTTACCCCAAAATTAACTTTTTTTAGCTGATAAACTGTCTAGAATGTGTCTAAAATGTTATACAGTACTGTTTCTGAGCTAATTTTGATGTTTTTGTGTGTATTTGTTCAAATCTGTAATATTTGGTCTAAAAACGT